GTTCTTAACCTGAAGCACTATTTCAGGGTTAGCAGAGTCTGTAACCTGAAGCGTATGTAACCTGAAGCATATGTAACCTGAGGTACCACTGTAACCAGGTTATTTAGTTTATATAGTTAACTAATAACTGCATACTTTTTTTTTGTAAACTGATGTGGCCAAATTCATGGTGGACATGAGCAAAATAATTTTCGTTTTTGCCTGTGGGGCGGGGGGGAGGGGAGATTTTTCTAATGAATGATATTACTTATAATACCCAAGAATAGTACTACTTACAGCATCTGCTTTATAAACCAAACAAACGTGGAAGCAAAACAGCAGCAGCCATTATGGATGAGCTCTGCTTTCAACCGGATAATACAGCACTTTTTAAATCAGCCAGGTGTCACTTTAAAGGACAGCAAAGCGATCTGTGTGCGGTAATACCTAAAGCCTCTTCTATCCTTGGCAGCTGTGAGTAACCAGGTTTTAATAAAGTATAAATGTATATCCACCTGCTTACAATCAGATGTATTGGGTGTCCTTGGATTTCAATATTTAAAGCCCTGAAGCTATTTTATTTATTCTGCTCTAGAGCAGCAATAATAACAACAACAAGATGTTGCATTATTTGCTATCCTGCTGCTTGTTATTACAGAAATGTGATTGCTGCAGTCATTACTATTTGTGAATAGATTGAAGGAACCCCTGTTGCTTTGTTTTATGCATCTTTATGTTGTTATGTGGGAGGTAGGCTTTCGCCTTATCGCATAATGTCAGACTTCGTTAGCACAGGAGTGTGAGGCAGCGAGAAGACTTGCTACGATCATGCACTGGCTATGTAGGAGGTATAACCTCGGAGTTATCAAGCAGTGTCAGAATCTCTTAGCAAAAAGCTTGGGAGGAGACAGTATTCTCAGAGTGTGGCCCATATTGAGAATGCTTTAGAGGAACAAAGCTTACAACACATATTGGATGGTCTTTACCAGGCGTTCTCAAACTTGGTCCTCCAGCTGTTTTGGGACTACAACTCCCATCATCCCTAGCTAACAGGACCAGTGGTCAGGTATGATGGGAATTGTAGTCCCAAAGCATCTGGAGGGCCAAGTTTGGCCATGCCTGCCCTAGCGGTACAAAATGGCATAAGGCAGCCACTGATGGTCCAGAGCGGCATGGGAAAATGGTCTGATTGTTGTAAAGTTTGTCACTACTTGGCGTGAAATGGTTTGGGACCCAGCAAGTTGGCTTATAGTGAATCAGACCATTGGTCCATCTTTCGCTCTGTTGCCTACACACTGGCCAGCAATGCCTCAGAGGTCTGATTCAGCACCACCTGAAGGTTCCAGGAATGAAACTTGTGATTTGCACCCCAAAGTCCCATGTTCTGCCAGTGAGCACCTCCTGTGCAGCATTCATAACATTTCCTCCAAAGTTGTCAACGTAATTGGTATCACCAACCACTTTGAACGCAAGGGAATGGGTATGTTGTATGTTTAATGCACTACAGTTTTCGGAGCATGCAGCCCATAATTTACCAATAAGAGGGGCATTTCTGTGTTGGCACACTCTGAAATGATCCCCCCCCCAAGGCCTGCACCATCAGTGATGCAATTCCAGTGCATGCTGAACACTTTTTTGTTTACCATGGCTTTTGCTCATTAATGATACTATTCATTATGGAATTTTTTTTACTTTCTGCCTGTTTGTATAATATTTATAATATTGATTGTATTTGCATTGTATCTTATCATATTCCTATACACCACCTTTATAGTTCCACGTAACAGGAAGAATATAAATATTTTAATAAATATATAAAATTAGTCCACCAAGCCCTGAATTCTTATTGGATAAATGGAACATTTTCCCCATTTTCTTTCCTTGAGCTTCTTGAGAATCCTTGCCACTTACTTCAAGTCAAAGGGATAAGTAAGCATATAGCTATTGCCAATCTGATTTACTCTTGATAGGTATGCCTCTAAATGGCAATGAAGGTGGGGAACTGGGATGGTGACTCATTTGCATTTAAAGGAGAAGCTACCAAATGCACCAAACTACCCGTGAACAGAAATACAGCTGTTTACACTTCTCCGAATTTTGCAGTTCCAGCCTCCAGCCAAATAATGTCTGCAAAAATGCACATAGAAGGGGAAGTGTCCATAAAATGCATATATTAGTGAAAACAACAAACAAACAGCATACAAAGCTGTATTATATTAGGGGCACTGCAAACAAGCAGGCATATTTTAAGGAAAATCTGCTGCTGAATTTTCATGGGGACTTTTTGAAAAAATAATAATTGCAAACTGATGTGGAAATGTGGAGAACTGACTTTAATACTGGGGAAAATGAGAAACTGAAAATTTCAGGTTCGCCAATCCCTCCATGAGGGGCTGTGCAATTGGTTGGGGTAGGGTGGATAGGGAGCCTGGCATGAACCAGCCCCATATAGCTTTGAAATGAAAATACCCCAGGCTCCAATTCCCAGACCTACCTTCACCCCGCTCCATTGAAACAAGTGCTCTTCTCTGGCTACAAAATATATGCACACTGAGGTCTGGCATTTGTGCACAAGAATACTAAACATGCCGCTCTTTTCCTTCAAGGTGAAGTGTTGCACAGAATGACAGAGACATGGAAAGTGTCACTGCTTTTCACAAAGGTGCCACATTTGCTCTGGGAAGAACATTTATTGGCACTATGTTGAGTGGGTTTTATACGATGGTATAAATATGTCAATTAGTATTTCATTTAGCATCTGTGACTAATGCTGCCCACGCTGAGAAGTTATAGCGTGTGCGTTTCTTGCCAGAGGGTATGTTTTTGTTTCTTTATTATTCAAATAGAATGCCGGTGGAAAATTTCAGCAGCGGGGAATAGGACAGAGAATTACAGGGTTTCTTTCTAATGGAGGATCAGGGATTGGTTAAAAGCCTTTTAAGTGGAAGCTTGGGTCTTAATTCCCTTTCCACTACAGAATTTGGCATCCCACTCTGCCTGGTAGATCAACTCCTACAATCTTCCTCCCTGTGTGCAGGCAGTTATAAAAAAGTTTTTTAGAACTTTCTAAATTTTGGCAGCATTTCTCATCTTGGGAATCGAGACATAAGCTGGTTTGTGCAGAAGTACGGTAAGTTCCGTACAGTTCAGTGGCAACAGACCTTACGAGGCTGCTAGTAGTTAAATAAACCAGTGTGCGTTTAAGTACATCTCGGGCTGAAACCCTAATCTTATTAAAATCAATAGGGCTTAAAGATGTGTAGCTTACAGCCAATTCAAATGCTCAGGCATGGGGAGGGACATTTCTTCTGCACCACAATAGCTTTTGCATAAGGAGTCGCTGTGAAAGCATTGGTACAAGAAAACTGCACAAAACCTTACACACTTCACAGAAAGTGTCTATGCTAAAGGAAACTTTAGCATATAAAACCAGACTTAGAGTATAACTGGAATAACAAACATCTAACCATCTAACATAAAATATAGAAAAGGAACAGGAATAAGGAGAGGGGCTGTAACCAGGGGGTTGACCCCCTCCAAGGGCTCAGGCCCAGATAGGTGCAAAAACCATGCCTCTCCACTCTGCCTCGGGTTTTGAGGAAGCACACTGCTCCCCTTGACTAGAACTGATCCCTAGACATGATACGACTCCATTCTAAAGCTACTCCACCAGCACCACAGCTATATAAAAGCACCCCCTTTACATTTGTTGTTGTTGTTGTTTAGTCGGTTAGTCATTTCCGACTCTTCGTGACCCCAGCAACCAAAGCACGCCAGGCCCTTCTGTCTTCCACTGCCTCCCGCAGTTTGGTCAGACATTTACATTTATATTTACACAAATGAATAAAATTCTTCCCAACCCATTTACAAAACCGCTTACACATAATGCGCCTCGAAACTTCTGAAGCACAACCAAGATACAGCTATCTTTTGCAAGAATTTTGAATTCTGAAGCATGCTGCAAAGGAAAGGCATAGTTTCTTCTTTTTTTCATTATTGTATTTATGCCAGTAGAGGGCACAAGCTGTTAAATCACATTATTATCATACATAATACCAGCAGCTTTATACAATTCTTAAGGTTGGGTGTGGGGAGAGAACAAGTCCTTCTGTGGAATTTGACTGCCGTGTTACAAAACTGATAATCCCCCCAAAAGATTATTTCAACAGTTTTCCATTTTTTTTTTACTGCTTCATTGACTCACTTGGTAGTTATTAAGGAATGTGCTGCCATAAAACAGTTGTGTGGGCTTTGGGATTGACTTTAGGAAAGCTAATAAATAAATGTTAATGAGGCCAATTAGAGTAAAAACAATTACATTTGTTATTTCTAAGCTATAAAACACTCAAGGGCTTGTCTTTTAAATAATGGTTATTGGAACCGCTCAGTGCTTGCAGCTTTTAGCAGCCACAAGTTCAAAATTGGAACATTTATTTAACCAGAAGGTCAGGGCAGCAATCTGATTTCCACTTACCTGGGGGTGAGCCGTACTGAACTCTGTGGGTCTTCTGAGTAGGGATGGAGGAGCAATTTGCTACATATCCCATTTTAATGGGATACTACCCATTCTGCATTTCTCAAAACAATATGCAAGCCAACATGCACCTGTCCTGCAGAAGTCAGACTACTACAATTTTTGCAATGCCGTTCCCCAACCAAATAAAATGTGTATATTAGGGGAAAGTGTGCAAATAATGCATCCATTTCTGAAAATTGTATACAAGCATGCATTATGTTGAGGGAATTTGCTTGCAAAAATGTGTATAATTGGCAAAACTGCATACAAATATGTGCATATTAGGAGAAACGTGTGGCTTATTCAGGACTGCAAAATGAACATAGCAGGCCCTACTGCATCCAAGGGGTGCCATGTGATACACCCAGGGCCTGTGCAGAGGCCCAGGGTGGGAATCTTGTTAGAATAGTTATAAATTCAAACATATTGCAGCTGGTCCCTGGCAGGGTCCCTGGCTGGCTTAGCCCTTTAAAGCCCGGGGTAAGTGTACCCAGCTCTGTCCCAGCCCCCTCCACTGCACATGCCTGAGTACACCAGTTATATGATGTTTTTCCAGAGGTCTGGGTAGCAGCACTACAAATTCTCCTGTTGCTTCCAGTGATTGTTACCAGTGGTGAGTATAGTTTTGGAAAGCTGATACTCATCCAAATATACTTGCGATCTATCAGGATGGATAGGCAGCTCACATCACTTGCTATCTTAGCCATCGAGAATGACATCACTTGAAGCCTCCGTCTTTCAACCAGTGGTACAGTTTGCACATGCTAAAGACTCCAGAGCCACATTCTAAGCAGTAACATTCTGAGCAGCAGCAGCCGACTCTGGACAGGCAGAGGAACTATTATACGTTTTGTTGCTAATGTTTTGCTTTGTTTATGCCTTGTAGCATTTTTCTTTCTTTTAGTTTTGTTGTTTAGTCGATTAGTCATGTCCGACTCATTGTGACCCCATGGACCAGAGCATGCCAGGCACTCCTGCCTTCCACTGCTTCCCAGCGTTTCGTCAAATTCATGTTAGTAGCTTCAAGAACACTGTCCAACCATCTCGTCCTCTGTCGTCCCCTTCTCCTTGTGCCCTCAATCTTAGCCAACATCAGTTCTTTTCAGAGGGGGAAACAAACTTTCTTTTAGTATATGTTCTTTATTTTACCAAAATATATATAGAGATATAGATAGAAAGATTATGAAAAGTTTCCCTGTCATCTTGCCAAGTTATGCTGCTGTATGTTAAACTACACTTCGTCATTTTAGACAACGTAGCTTCACAGCCTAGTCAAAGTTTGCTTTGGAAAGGAACAGTTTTAGTAATTACTCAAAACAAAGGCAACATTCCTTATCAGTTTCAAGGGGGTATTTATTATAATATTCTCTTTCTTTGTAATAGGGGAAAGTGTGTCTGTATTTTTGTCTTTTAAAAAGAGTAGAGGAAAATGTATTTAAAACAATTACTCAATTTTGAAACCAATCTCTTTCAGCTTTCATTCATTCATTGTGTGTGTTTCTTGCTTACAGTGCTTGATAATGCTGCCTCAAAGGCCTGCCGATTTTTATCTACAAGGAACGAAAACAAACTCAAAATTAAATTGGAGCTAATTGATGGAAGTTGGTTTTTTGCAGTTAGTTTTGAACAGCCCACAGATATCCTGGTCAATCATGAGGTCTCTTCCTGTGCAAGGATCTTTATGTGGTAAGTAAATAGCACCTAGTTCAGATTGGCAATGAACAAGCAGTGGCTGGGGCCATGGACAACACATGTGTCTGCTGCACAGCTTTGGTACCCACAGATACTCAATGCCTGAATAGGGCTATAATCTCACACTAATCACACTGCGTTCTAATTATGTGCCAGTGTTAGCTGTCACCCAGGAACAGAAACCACAGCTGATTAACAATATGAATCTTAGGTAATTAGCAAGAGTGGATCCATTGCATACATTTGCATGTGGATATTTAAAATGATCTGAGGCATGAATCACACTTCCTTTGTTTTTAGATTATACGCATGTATGATGGTTTGCTTCAGATATTTGTAAACTACCTTTTAAGATTATAACCTTCCTGAGAAGTCACTCAGCAGGATTTAAGTAAGTTGTTGCATGCATGGATGTACATTTGCACAATGGGACTCCCCCCTCCCCCTGCATGTCCCCACACCCTAAAAAATTTGCTCTGAAAGGATTGGAGGAATCTCCAGAACTGATATAAGGGGTACACAGGAGGAAGGGGGGAGAGTACAGTGGTACCTCAGGTTACATACGCTTCAGGTTACAGACTCCGCTAACCCAGAAATAGTGCTTCAGGTTAAGAACTTTGCTTCAGGATGAGAACAGAAATCGTGCTTCAGCGGCGCGGTGGCAGCAGGAGGCCCCATTAGCTAAAGTGGTGCTTCAGGTTAAGAACAGCTTCAGGTTAAGAACAGACCTCCGGAACGAATTAAGTACTTAACCCGAGCTACCACTGTACTGCTCAGTAAGTTGAATTCCATCCATTATTTCCTATGTGAAGTGCCCTTTTCAAGATGGTGCTCAGTGCTTAACTTTTTAAAATGTGCACTGCCAGATTAACCAGTGCCACCTTTCTAGATGATGGGGGAAGTGTTTAAAATGCATTCTGATTAATCTATAAAATGTTGCTGCCCTAGGATTTGTGAATGTATCTAAACACATAGAGGTTGTCACCTGAGGTTGTTAAATAAGCAAATAAGGCTGGAATAAGTATTCCACTCTTTCTACAAGTAGCTCAAGTAAACATGCATTATGGTGGTGGTGGTACTTTGGAGGAGACTGTATCAACTGCTTCTCTGCATTATTTCACCCCCCTTGACATGCTACACTTAGTTGCTCATCCTTTTTTCTGTGATGTCACCATGTACTTAAATTACTACTAGCAAATAATAAACCTCAGTTCACCCACCAGTAGCTGCGGTTAACCAGCACAGCACATACACCACCCTTCCCTGTGCGGAGGCTATAGCTAAGGTGTAAAGGAACAAACTTGATAAGACAATGATCTGGGATTTTTGAAAAATGGCCACAAGTTTATTGCTTTCAGGTGCAAGTGAACTTTGGCTCAGCCATTGGCTGTATATGCATTTCAGCCTCCTGATGGAGGGCTGAAACCTTTTTCGGGGTTATGGCAAGGATTTTGGTCTCCTCAAGACACCAGTCTACCAAGGTGGCCAATTTTTGGGCCACTGCTGGAAGCTCTATGGCCCATCTGCCCCATCTTGGCTTCTGGGCAGAGACTTCCAGCTAGAGCTCTCTTATGGGTTACCCTGAGTATGCACCTGTTCTTCGGTCAGGGTGATGCACCAATTCACCCAAGACCTTGATGACTAGGTTGGGAAGCACAAAACATCCAGATGGGCCCAATCTGTTTGAAGGCAAATTCCTTCCCAGCAAACATTGGGAACCATAGCAAGGTCAGGTAGAGTGCAAGGAGGCAAAACATGCAGTGAAGGAGGGAAGGAAGGAAGGAAGGAAGGAAGGAAGGAAGGAAGGAAGGAAGGAAGGAAGGGTGGGTGGGTGGGTTTACTCTTCTGCCAACTGTGCTGAAAGTGCCAGGCACACTTGGCTTTTAAGGGTAGCCAGAGGACCAGAGTGGAAGCATGCAAGTCTTGGTCTGCCAGTGAAGCTCTGCCCACTAAGGTGCCCATGATTGAGCAGTTTAAATTAAGTATTTGGCAGGCAAATACTTGCCTTGCAATGCAGCTGACCAGATGATCTTCAACAGCCTGTCGTGGATGTGAGTCCCAGCACCTGGGAATGGTGGCTAGCCAGTGAGGGGCTGCGACCACCACCTACCTGTAGGTGGTGGCAAATGGCCACATGGCAAATGGCCATTCTGACATCACATTTTCCTTAAATTTAAAAAACAATAACTGATGACCAAGTCGACTTTCAGATGTTTCAGGATACCTTTCCCCTGCAATTTCAAGTCCCCCAAAGCCCTAAGTAAAATGCACATAAAACATTAAAAATTATTTTAAAATAATGCAATAATGACATTAATTTAAAATATAACATTACCTTAGTTGAGTTTTTTGGATTTAAGCCAAGCTAGTTCACTGCATGAGTAGGACTGCATGGGATTAGATCAAAGTTGTCAGGTTTAACTGTGTAGTAGATCAGTTTTATAAAGTCACGTAACTCAGTTTTTAAATGAATGAGCACCTCTTGTCAAACAAAGGCTGGTACATGACTCTCCAGCTATCCCAATCAGACAGAATAAGCTGCAGTGATCTTACTCTCATTGCATGATTGCTGTTGAAGCAGATGTAATTCAATTGGTTTTGATGACGTTCCACCAGCAGGAGACCAGAGTTACAATGGGTAAATTGGCCTCACTGGGCCAAAATTGACAAAAATAACACCACTACAGCATTTTATTAGCATGTTATGCTGTTTACTCTCACTGAGGTTTTAAAGGACACCAAATGTGATTGATTAAGGACTTAATTGCCAATGTAAAACAACCAAGTAATTAACATGAAGAGAAGAGTGCAAAGTAGCACAGGGATTTCATCAAATACAGAATAAATGCAGCAACAGTGTTGCTTATTTTAAAATATTGTAGGTCAGTGTCTAAGTGTTTAGATATGATTTGGTGCTGTTTCAGGGAACAGAGGGTGGTATTCAACTAGATTTTACTCAAAGTAGACCTATTGAAATGGACCATAACTCAGTCATGTTCATTACCTGAGTCTACTCTGAGTAAAACTTAGCTGAATACCACCCAGAGTACACAACAGATTTATTCCAGAGATAAAGTTGAAGACACTCTCTCTTAGACTGCAGGGTTCTGGAAAAATGCCTAGCAGAATTATTGAACAATGTGAAAATCTGAAACCTTTGGATTGCTTCAGCCTCAATGCTAAGGTCACAGAAGAAGAGCAAGACAACTAAAATACCAATCTATTCTCAAGGTGTATAAAATAATACTATGCCAAAAAAAATACTGCATTTTTAACCATTTCCCATCAATTAATGAGAAAAGAAATTTCTTTCTAAAATCAAAGTGGGTGGGACATTAATCAAAGTGGGTGGGACATTTTGGTGAAACTGTCACAAGGAGCAAGGTTTCGCCAGTGTTCTGCACTCTGCAGCCTTCCTAGGTACTCATGTGTCAATTAAAGCCCAGATATAATGAAGTAACTCCTTCCATGGTGCTTTTTCAATTCAGGAAGTTCAGGCAGATGAGTAATTTGAAGAGTGATAGAAAAATGTTTACAGGAAAAGGGGGGAAATGCATGCACTATCCTTGGCTACCTCTCAATGCTCAAAACCCAAGATCAACATTCTACTGATTTTTTTTTAAGAACTCTGAAAATAGAACAGAAAGATGGGTACCTTTCTTCACAGGCGAAAAATGGCTTCTGAGAAATTGGAAGACGGGTTTCCACGCAGCATGTTTATTAAGCAAACACCTGGTGAAACCATTCCTTAGGTGAATGTACAATCACCAAACAGGCCTCTCTTGCACTATGTGTTTTGAATGCGTAAACCAGATGAAATACAGAGTAATACAGAGTTAGGGGCTTCCCAGCATTAGGAAGAGCCTTTTCTGTGATGTCTCTGCATCTGTGGAATGACCTTCTCACTGAGGTGCATTTGGCTCCCACTTTATGTTCTTTTAGACACCAGGCAAAAATTCACCTCATACCTTTTGTGTCAGGCTTTTAGAGGCTGATGGGTGAATACATTTCTGAGTTTTGATGCTGCTAATTATGTTGTTTCTGTTTTTATGATAATTGTTTTCATGTTTATTATGTTTCATATCACTTTATTCTTATGGAAATCAGAGTGTGACCATTTTTTGGTGATGGGAAGTAAAAAAGGGATAAACATATTGTTCTGGGCTTAGGGGGGTGCCAGACCCCTCTATTCCTTGGTTACAGTAAGTGTCAAAAGCTAAACAAGCCTTCTAATTCCAAGAAATAACCAAGCTAGCTTCCTTGTAAAGTGATGGGGATTAAGGGGCTTTTTCCTCAAGGATCTGGTATTCCATGACATAGTGCCTCTGATTCTGGAGATCCTATCATGGCAAGCTGCCACTGTAGCTTTACCCTCCGCTGATATGTCTTAATACCCTTTTAAAGCTGTCCACCTTCCTTTGCTCCAAAGACTGCTCTGTAAACGTATTTGCGTGGTAAGGGGTACACAAGCTTTGAATAATATTCATACACTGCTGGCTTTGTGTATATAAATCCCACTTGAGTCTCTGTATTTTGATCATATGGGACAACTTGTGAAGGACACCTGCTCGCTGTGTGGTGTACACGCAAACACCACCCGCCACCCAGAAATTCAGCATGACAAGGCAAAGGAAGAACCAATAGGCTTATCGCCTCTCAATGTACTCAATGTACACTCAATCCAAGTCCTTGACAGTTTCAACACTATTGTTCTCTCTGCAATCAAGGTGTTTCCAAATGTAATTAATTAATTCTCTACTCTTCAACAGGTTCCTATGGTGACTAAATGGTGGGTGCTTCATGTGAATTAACCCTGTGAAGTCAGAGATGATGGTGAATAGGTTTGGTTGTTTCCATTACTGCTGAGAGGGAGGCCACTTTTTGTCTTTGTTTTCACCCAAAAGCATAATGCAACCCACTGAACATCATGAAGATTGAGAATTGTCAGCCAGTTTGCCAAAGAACCATTGTAGTTACTTGGGAATGCGGCTACTGCTGAATTGCTACTCTTAATAATTGATAATTTTATTGGTTGAGCTGATTAGCTAATATCCTCAATGCTTGTTTCCTTCAATAACTATACATTTTCATAAAACAATTAAAGGTAAAGGTAAAGGGACCCTTGACCGTTAGGTCCAGTCCTGACCGACTCTGGGTTGCGGCACTCATCTCGCTTTATTGGCCGAGGGAGCCGGAGTACAGCTTCTGGGTCATGTGGCCAGCATGACTAAGCCACTTCTGGCAAACCAGAGCAGCGCACGGAAACACTGTTTACCTTCCCACCGGAGCGGTACCTATTTATCTACTTGCACTTCATGTTTTCGAACTGCTAGGTTGGCAGGAGAAGGGACTGAGCGACGGGAGCTCACCCCGCTGCGGGGATTCGAACCGCCTACCTTCTGATCGGCAAGTTCTAGGCTCTGTGGTTCATCCCACAGCGCCACCAGTGTCCCAGATAAAACAATCACACGTGATTAATAGGTATATGAGACAGTTTTTGTTCTAAAATGTTGCATCGCTGTAGAGATTATTTACTGGGCCACCACAAATACATATTTCTTCATATGCAGAAATAAATATAATTGAGGAGAAAAAACAATTGCTTCCTTGTTTTGCTCATCACTGATCAAATTACACAAACAATATTCAGAAAGAAATTGTTTTCAGCAACAAGTTTTTGCATATCATAAGCATTTAGTATACTACAGTGGCTACCAAATTTCTGAATTAGAACTTAATAGGTGGTTTGTTGCTGGTTTTTGTTTGTTTGTTTGTTTCACTGCATTTGCTTATGTGTAATAAATCCAATTATTTATAGGAATCATTCTTGTGTTAGAGGTTAAATCCTCTTCTTTACCTCTAATTGCTTGTGAAACAGCCTGTTGTTAGATTTTGCTTTCCTCCTTGGAAAGTATTCTAGATTAAACGTTTTACAGTTATTTAATTCTGCCAGTGCTACACTATTTTGAAAGTAATTGCAAGGGCAGAGGAACAAGGCAGAGAGCTGTAGTTTGTCATCACTACATATAGTATCACCTCCCTTTTGCCAATGCCAATATCGGGTGCTCAAAGTTCCAATGTATTATTTGCCAAAATCCATTAAGAGAACACACTAGATTTAGTAGATAGCAAAATGCCCTCCAAAAGGCAATCCAATCAACGCACAGTGTAATTGCAAATAAAATAAAATAACAAAAGTTACTATATTTGGTTTAGACAGCTGGGGGACCAATAAACAGGAAATACTAATACACATGTTTTCCCCTCCTAGATAATGAAATTTGCAGCCAGAAGCCCTGGAAAAAGAACTGATAAGTACAAAATTGATCATATTTGAATGCCTAATACCTGCTGATGTCCAGATTAAACATTCATAGCCAGGTTAAAATTACACCGTTTGTTAATAAAGAAATGTTAAAACAGAGGTAGCAAAAGCCATAAAAAACTCATCAGTGGTAGTTCTCATCAGTCACTTATCTCTGATATACAAATGGCCAAGGGGGGGAAAAAATCAAAAGATAGCGCTATCATCCCCTCTTCTCATAGTCCTTGATTGCTTTTAAATTTTCATCTAACAGCCCATGAAATCATTCCACCATTTTCATTTATTTTTTCGTGTGTGATTTCACGGTGCAGTATATCAGTTTTCAGCACATAGCCTTCCTGGCATCTTCTTTCTGTAACAAATTCCACTGCACATTATTCCAACCTTTTCATTTATTTTTATGGTAGTCACCCTGGCCTGATCTATGATCTGTCTACTTGAGGGACATTCCCCTCCAAGATTTTCCTCCTCTTGGGTTGTTACTTGTACAGTATGTCCAGCGACTGGGAAAGCTGAATGTCTCTAATCTTTGGCCATTGCTCTCATTTCTCCATGTTGGGTTCTGGAACATGGTATTGATCACCTCATTGTGTGACTGGAAACTATAGACAACTGGTAACCTATGCAACTATTAGATGCTACAAAGATTGTCTAATTATTGTTTACAATAATTAGAATCACTGGCCCACCCATGAGGCAAAGTGAGACAACCACCTCAGGTGGCAGGATCCACAGGGGCAGCAGATTTGGCATCAAGGAATGCATTGCCTGCTGCCGCGATAACAGCAATGGCTGCACTGCGCTCCTTAGAAGCCAGATCTGAGGCCTTCTTGGTAGCTTCCCCACAATGTCATCTCTACAGCAGTCTCTTGGCAAAAAGAAGGTGCTGCCGGCCTTCTCCCACCCTTGCTCCCAATGCAGAATCATAGCATCATAGAATTATAGAGTTGGAAGGAATCCTAAGAGTCATCTAGTCCAACCCCTGAAATGCAGGAATCTCAACTAAAGCATACATCCAACCTCTACTTAAAAACCTCCAAAGAAGGAGAGTCCATCACCTCCTGAGGGTTAACATTCCACTGTCAAACTGCTCTTACTGCCAGAAAGTTATTCCTGATGTTTAGTCGGAATGTCCTTTCTTGAAGCCATTGGCCTGGGTCCTACCCTCCAGAGCTGGAGAAAACAAGCTTGTTCTATCTTCCACCTATCTTCTTTAGGTATTTGAAGATGGCTATCATATCTCCTTTCATTCACCTCATTCATCCAGGCTGAACTGTGGGAATGTTCAGGGAGGCAGGAGAGGATTTATTGTTTACGGATAACTTGTGTTAACAAGTTCTATATCTAAGCAGAGTTTAAACATTCCCCTTTACACGCACAGCGGTTTGCTTGTTACAGGCTAGTTTTAGCCTCTAAATATAGGATTCTTAGTAAGATCCCTTTTTGTCCCTCTTAAAAAGAATAAACACAACAATCTTATTAAACTCTATATAAAAGTAGTTTACTCACATTCATTCAGTTGGATCCCTGAAGGCAGACTTATGTTACAAAAGTATATACACGTGTGGAACTATCCCATAAGGGAGTTAGTTCCTAAGTGACTGTGAACAAGCAGTCACTTCTCCTCACACGCAGAAAAAAAAAATGGAGAAGAGCAGAAAGAGAGAGAGGTGTGCTCCCTGCCTTACTCTTGTTCCCTGGGCAGAGAGAGGGCCAGATTAGACTACACTCACCTCTAGTCACATGCAGAGGAAGTTTGTCCCAGCTCAGGAGGAAAAAGGAAGTTTTCTCTTGAATGATACAAAGCATCCCCTAGCATGTCCACTCTAGGAATGTTGTACTTGACTGCTATGTGTTTCACATCCCACATAAACATACCCAACTCCCTCAACTGTCATAAGGCTTGATTTCCAGAACCTTGATCATCTTGGTTGCCCTCCTCTGCACTTTATTCCCCCCTTGGAGCTGATGTAGATCTTCACTCATCCCTTCTTCCCTGACAGGGTGAGATCCATTTTGTGGTTTGCCTCAGGTGCCAAAATATTTTGGGCCAGCCAGGAGAACTATAATATTCATACCTGCTGGAAACATAGACTAGCAGCCTCATACCCAACATTGCTCAGGAATTCCAAAAAACAAGCAAGCAACAGTGCAGGTTTAAAGTCAGTGGGTAAAATCAGTGTGAATGACTTATTCCACCATTTTGATTCAATTGTATCTGAACACAAAGAAAAACCTGCTCCTTGATCTCAGGAACCACTATGCAAAATCTGATTAAAAATCAGCGCAGTTTTGAAAGGTTCAGTCTACCATCAGGAATCTAAACGGCATCTAACTGTATCCAAACACAAAGGAAAACTTGCTCCTTGGTCTCAGGAACCATTATGCATTTTTTATGATATATTAAGAGGTGTACAAATGCATAGCCAACTCTAACCAAATAGTTACCAACCACCCAACTCCTTCTGACCCAACTGGGCTGTCCTCATGTTTATGTGGTGCCCATCAAAGTTCCCTCTCCTTATCAGCCTCATAACACCGCTACAGTGTACCTTACTGTTCTCTCAGTCCCGATACACCCATTCTCTATGGATTTAACCAAACAGTTGCCTGGCCAATCTGATTTCCAACTCTGTACCTAAACTTTTATTATTGCAATAAACTGCCCAAACACAGGTTCTTCCTGTACATGTGTAATCACTGACAAGTTTGTTGCATGTGGCAACAAATACTTCAGGCTCTATTTTCTAAGCAGCCCAAAGCAAACTTTGCCACATATTTATTAGCGTAGGTGCTACTGAGTCAAAAAAAGCAAAGTTCTATTCACAAGGAATAAATACACCTGCAACATGGCAACTCTAAATATATGTTAACACATTCTTTTTTCCCCTGAGAGTGAAAATTAAGCAAATTAAAATAAATCGGTTAGGTTTTTATTGTTGAGTTGCTTGGAGATGTTTTATATGAAATGCTTTATAAATGAAAATAAATAAAGAATAGTGCTACTTCTGGGTTTTAAAAGACCTGTGATTGCAAGCGGGGAGTTTAGCATTTCCAGATTCTATAGCACTGTCAGGGGAAATGCCATACTTTACATAGTCTTGTTTGCCATGAACCTACCCCAAATCCCAGTGCCATGAACTGATATGAAGAATTTTCAACCTTAGTCACATGGAGAGTTGTTTACATTGTGCCTCTGATACAGAAAAATCTGGAGTTGACCTCTTATTCATCTGTTTCAGTGTTTGTTCACATCAAACCTTGAATACAAACTTGTTACTGTACTGTCAATATTAAAGCTGCTTCTAAATCACACAGATTTTTTTCCACAACAGGCATCCTGACATTTTTTGCAAAAACCTTAGTTGCTGTCAAAAGTGCAACAAAGCTGAAGGTACTGAAAAATATAAGCAGATTAGATTTTATGGCCAGGATAGGAATGGGGGACCCCTGGAGTGGGGGTTGTATAGCTGATGTTATGAAGGGAGCCTGTGGTGTTCAACAGAAGTTTAAGGAGATTCACCCACATTTCCTTCCTCTGCCAGACCTCCTCTGTACTGATTGAGCGAATAAGGCAGGGCTGATGAAAGGAATAAACGTGCAGCCTTTCAGCACGATAAGGAGTATATTCTAGTAGCACTAAGATTATGGCTTTGTCAGTATGGAGGGGGGAAATGGTCAGTTGACTGTGGATGTGTGAGGGGTGAACATAACAAAACAAAATCATGTACCATTTTCCCACAAGGATTGATGACTAACCTGCACCACCAACTCTTTTCTCCTTTTCCTACCTACTGCCGCTTCAACTACTCTTGTTCCTCCTCCATTTTAAGCTGCTGCATTCCTCAACCAGGGGCTACCCTCACCCTTCAATGTCACATTCTGAGGAAGAAGTCATTCTCAGAGTAAAGCATTGTGGGTTAGGTGGCCTCAGAGTATACATGCACGTGACAGTGGCAAACCCTGTTTAAAGTTTGAGACTGGTTAAATTTTAAACTGCGAGTGCTGCCATCTTGGCAAAGTTGTAGTGGCAGCAGCACAGGTGCTGTCTATGGCTATCTCAGCCACAATGGCTCACTCTGAGGAAGGATCCTTACTAGTGGCAGACTGCTTCATAGCTAAGTGGTGTTCCATAATTCAATGGCTGGGTGGGCAGGCAGCAGAAATTGCAGTGGGTAGGTGGCAGGTTTTGCCCTTGCTTGTGGTGATGGCAGTGCTATATGTGGCAGGCAGGCAGCCCATGGGTGGCAGATGGGGGCACAGATTGTTCCTTCTTGTGATCCACTGCCTAAGACACATTTTCTTGCTACATACATGTCCTATGTAGATAATTATATGAAGTCATAGTTATAAAGCTCTTAATACCTAAAGACCATTTGTGGAAACTCTTATGAACAAACTAGGAAGATTCTCTTCTGCAACTGTTGGATTACCAAAATCTGCATTGTTGATACTCTTTAGAATGGGATGGAAGAAGAATCGCTTGGGACCAAGAGACTGAAGTAGTTTAGATTCAGCTCAATGCACAAGGTGAGACATGAGGTGTGTGTGTGTGATTAACTTTGGTCTCACCAAATTGTAAAAACAAGTGAAGTTCAGAGACCCTGTACTTCAGGGCAGCCAAACTCATCAACTTCCAGCTCCCATCCAGACTGTGCTGGCTGTAAATCATAGATGCTGTTTATTTGCCTCATGTTTACTTTAATCTCAGAATCATTAATTAAAAGATGGCAGTAACAGCATCTCCTCTTGGATTATTTTTGAGGTGCCTCTATAGTGACAGTTGAATGACAAGTAGGTAAGAAAAAACAATCTATATACTGCAAAGTGCTTCAGAGATTTCAATTAAATTAAAATAATTATTAACTATTGGTATTACAAGAACATCCAGAATTCCCAAAGCAGGATCAAGACCTGGTTCTGAAAAGTGCTTTGCAGTTTCAGCAAAGCTGAAAATATTTTTCCATCCTCCAAGTATTTAATACCTGTTCATTACTTTAATGCAACCTCTGTGTGTATGTGATGTAATTTGATTGTTTCCATAATTCACCCTGGGATCATGTATAAATGAAGAGTAGGAGAGAAATTCAAATAAAAAGTAAATAAATATCCTTCTTTCCTTCCCCCACCCTCCCTCACACATGCACACACACACACACACACACACACACACTTGCATACACCAATATATGTTCTAACATTTTAGCATTAGTATTTTCCTCAATACATTTACATTAGAAATGACATGAACAGGGAGCATCCACAATTAGCGAATCTGGAAGAGATTTAACTATTTCCTCCTACACCTCAGTCTGTTTTTTTAAAAATACCCTCCAAAAGCTGGCATTTGCCCTGCATAGAAACTTCCCTCCTGGGGCCTAGGTAACTTGGGAAGTTAGTTTTCACCAGAACCATAGTGGGTGGGGCGGAGGGTTAACATCCTTCGCCATGAACCACAAGCCCCTTTCTGTCTCTAGGCTCAGTCCTAGGCAGAACCACCTTAACTCTTAGCCAATTGTTTTCTGATGGCAATCAGCAGCATGCAGCCCATATTTTTCTTAGGCCTTGTGAGGTTTTTGAGTCTTGAGTCTACTCCACCATCTTTCACCTGCTATTTAACCCATCACTCTCCCAGCACCCTAAGATACCTTCCCATTCAAGTTTCCCATCCAGTCTCTATGCATAGCTTCTTATGTTCCTAGACCATGCTGCAGTTTCCCCAGCAGAACTGATCTTACAATTATTTCCCAAGAAAATGCAAGGTATAGGTTGAGCTTCGGCCGCTGACCATTCCAGGTCATTCTAGCAGTAATATTCTCATTTGTCACAGTCTCAAGGTGTTGCAGATTCTATAGTACTTTCCTTCCACCTTTGAAAATTGTGAAATACAATACATTTGGATTTCTAAGCGCATATATGTATGCAACTTTGGGACCTAGAATTATATCTTAAGTACGAATATCAAGTTTCACAGCTCCATACTGATGCCCAAGGGAACTATCTCATTTCAAGGGACATAAGTAGTGCCTGAAAACAGATTTGTGGATTGCATCGTCTTTGAACCTGGAATGCAAGTTACATCCTGAATGCACTTACCAAGATCCATTTACCCCACTTCAATGGTCAAGGGAGATATCACATTACAAATAAATAAATAAATAAACAAACACATACATACATAATCAGGTTTGAAAACTCTGAATACTTGCATTTAAGCAGACCTCAGCTTCATTTGGGTAAAAAGGAATGGGTCTTTTACTTACTTATAGTGATTTTCTAAATGCTGATGATGTAATGCCTTTTTAGTACATGTTGAAACACTGGAAACGTCCTTAAGCTTGATGCTGATAACGGTACAACCCTAGTTATAAGAGAAGCAAAAGAGGCCAAGTAAACAAGCAGTAAGTAGGTAGAGGATGAGACAGATTGGTCAATCAACTTTCAAACATTGTATCCGTCTCCAGAAAACAGGTATCAAAGAGATTCAAAACTGTAAAACTAGCTAAGGCAAAGTAGCAGAAAGAAGCAACCTTTCCTATAGGCAAGCAGGCTTTCTTCACACTACTGCCAAACACACAGCCACTGGAGTTTGTGGCTAGTAGGTGCTTTAGCATCAAGAACATGGCTAGGATTCTGCTTCTCCTCTCATGTTTGCTGAAGATATGATGTTGTCTCCATGTCCCCTTTCTTTAAGACAAACTTTGCTAGCCTACTGCCCCCCACCAGATGTTCCTAATACCAATCCTTGAGGGGGGGGGTGTCTCCATTTTCTATTTCTCTCCATTCAGAAAACTGTCCATTTATTCCTAGTCTTTGCTTCCCACAACTTAACCAATTCCTGATCCACAAGAGGACCTTTCCACTTATTGCTTTACTTTTAAGCTTACTCATGAGTTTTTGGTGTTGAAAGTTGCTTGACAGTCCAAACAGGTCTATAGGCTTGTTGACACTCTCAAAAAATTCTGATAGTTTTGGATCATTGCAGAAACCATGCTTGGCTCAGTGTCAGTAAGGTCTGTTCTTCTATATACTTGTATTTCCTAGGAGTTTTCCTCCACCTTTACCCATAGGAGCCTGAACATTCACAGAGATCTCCATCAGAGACTTTGTCTGGAAATCTTGCCATCTGAGTTTAGGTAGGTGATTACCAGGTGATTATATTTTCAGTGATGGCATATCTACCTGCAGCAATCATTCAATGTTCATTTGATGCCATTGAACAGCATTAAACTATTTCACCTTACTGTGTTCTCTTTTTTTTTGTTTGTTTGAATAGATTTTATTGTTGATTGCTCTTTGTATTTGATGCATTTATTTGTTTTTAATTTATTATTGTTCATATTTATTGTTTCATTTTTGCCATCTTAAGGCACTGCCAAGCTGGGACATAAATTGTAGCAATAAATAAATAAAATATCACCATACCACAGTTCTCATTAATTACCAGTATATGGACAAATAAGTGGCCATCCATGTTCCCTTAAATGTTAACAGACCATACAATATGAAGAAGCGTTCTCAAGTGCTGCTCATTTGGTCTGTTCATATTGCTGAAGTTTCCTAAAGAACCAAACCCTTTAAAACAGCAGTTGTTGTAATGAAATTTTCTTGTATACCTTAATTACCACATTACTTGCAAAAATTCTGTACTGTGAACATTGGAAGTCTGACTCTATAAAAATCTTCATTCAGCTCCCACACTGAAGAGACACTCATGAACTTGGCACTTTTTCTCCTGGGCTTGCAGCCCAGAAATTGGCTGGAGCTTTTACTTAATCCCCAAAGTGTGTGTGTGTGTGCGCGCGCATGTGCACGTACACGCATATGCACAAACATTTCTGTGTGATTTTCAACTTCTCAGTTTATTCTGTTTTTAAGAAATGATAAGCTGAAAAATGAAAGCTAAAACAAGCACTCTTTTTCCCACTACATGAGCAAAAGCTTTCTGTCTTGGTATGTAACTTTTGTTTACTCCATTGCCAAGGCAGGAGGCTTATTTATTAGACTGGTAAAAACTATGAAAGCTAAGATGGCTGTGGCTACCAGACTTGCAATTGCATTAAATCCCTTCCAAAGCTAATCAGCTTTTCCCAGAACATGCAAGGCAAAGTGCAGCTACAGTCACCTTATTTCCCACACAGCTTGAATTTAACTTTGTATTTTCTGAAAGGGGAAAGCTCTCTCCCCCTTTTAAAAAATGCCACCTTCTCTGCTTTTACATATCTCTTCAACCTGCTTAAAATAAATGTTCTTTCAAAAAATCAAGGAACAAGTCACATACTAAAAAATTCAGAACGCCCCACTGAAGGCTATTTGCACTGAATCAGCAGCTTATAGGATTGCATATTGGAGACTAGTACTAAAACCCAAACATACGTACCCTCTTCCCTGGCATGGTATATTACTGAACACAAGGAAGGGGATAGCATTGGAGTCTTGATCAACACTGTAACTGGAATATAAACCCAGGAAACACAACATCATGCTTCTGTTTCCTGGCAGGCACATAGTAATTACCCCTCCCCCAACATCAAGGGCACTCCCCAGCCAAAGGATTGCACATGGCAGATAATGGAGCAGTTGCAGCAACAGGGGATCATGTCCCCTCCACCAGCTTATGTATCTTCCCAAACTCTGAAACTCCTCCTGCCTCTTGACTCTTACCTCCTGGCTGGTATAGCTCCCCACAAATCACTGCCCCCCACTCCAGGTCAGACTCCAGCCTCCCTTCCCCCAGTGTACACTCCTCAGCAGAGGACGAGATGGTTGGATAGTGTTCTCAAAGCTACCAGCATGAGTTTGACCAAACTGCGGGAGGCAGTGGAAGACAGGGGTGCCTGGCGTGCTCTGGTCCATGGGGTCACAAAGAGTCGGACACAACTAAACAACTAAACAACAACAACAACAAAAGTGGAGTTAGCATGGTATTGGGTAAGGATCCATTATCTGAAGCCAGATGCAGCAACTCAACACACTTGGCTGGAGAATGATGTGGAAATTGACCGGCATACAAGGACCCAGTGTGGTGCCTTCCATGCAACTGGAACCCTGCTGGTAAATGTGAGATGAGTAGAGCCATGTCTTGCCTACTCAAGCTTGCACCATGGTCTGGTGTGATTCCTCAAGAGGGCCCCGCTTATTTGTAGATTCTGCCCAATGGTGTTTCCACCCAAGTTGTGACAAATAGCTATGCAAAAGACACATAACAACTACCTGTTAGCCACTGAAAGATGTGCAAAAACATTTCAACCGAGTGGTGGTTAATAGAAAAAAATCTTTCTAGCTCTGTAAACAAGCATCCACTCAACATCTCAGTGGAAGACTCTAAAACTGAGGGAGGACTGGGAATCAGGTCACAAGGAGAAAGAAGGCTACAGTTGGAGCCGACTGACCTCTTTAAGGGGGCTCACTGCCTCATTCCTTCCCAAGATCTCGCTGCAGATGAATCCCCACAACATCTCAGGGAGAATTGGCTCCTTTGATGACGAATTTGATGAATTGTCTTTGATGATGGCTGCACCACTCTGCAAGCTGGTTCTCCATTTGATTCCTTGCTGGGCCATTATTTCCTTTGCAATAAGAGGTAGTTATGGAAATGGAAACCAAGACATTCATTTCCCATTTGTCAAGTCATGGAGTACCTCGTTGCCCAAAGGCCAATGATGGAAAACTTAAAATGAAAAGGGCTGTATGAGTGAGTGTGCTGTAGTCTTCCATAATTTTAATGTCTTCAATTTGAGGCTGGTTGGTCTACACTTTGAAAACATATGGACCCTCCACCACAACCTGACGACAAGAAGGTTGCATTGCATTCCCTACATGGGAAAATGTATTATTATTTTTTAATTAGATGTATTCTTTTCTAAGACAGTATCCTCACAAAGCATCTAATACAGAATAAAAGCTAAAGTGCCATCCATAAACAATACACAAATACCATTTCAAACTTATCAAAAAACTACAAATCAATAAAAAAACCTCAGCACATCAATGTGAAGGCAAACAACAATCAGCCGAGCATAATCATAAAACACGAGACAGAAGAACAGCCCAACGGTTCCATAGTCAAATTAAACTCAATCTATAAAAGTGGAATACAAAAGTCTTCAGAGCCAGTTTAAAAATGCAATAAAGCGTCGAGGAGGGGGGAGCTTCTAAGGGGCCTTAACAAGTTTTAAAACTTTTTATTACTACACAATACTTCTCATATACTTTGTGGGGGCTTACTCCCTAATTTGGGGAAAACATTTGTTTTGGAGGAAATAAAAACAATTTTCATAAAATTAGCCAGGTTTCTCAGAGCAAGGGCTGCACATCTTCAAACACAGTGGTGCATCTTTGCTGTTGGTTGGTTCAATCTGAAGGCAAACCATAGAACTGTAGAGTTGGAAGGAACCCCAAGGGTCATCTAGTCTAACCCCCTGCAATGCAGGATTCCCAGCTAAAGCATCCATGACAGATGGCCATCCACCTCTGCTTAAAAACCTCCAAGGAAGGAAAGTTCACACCCCCAATTTGGTGATCTAAATTAAAGTTTCAGGAACAGAACAGGTGGTGAAGTTGTTTCTGTGAGCTCTTCACTGTGTTCTCAGTTTGCAACTCCCTCCACATAGTGGCTGGAGCAGTGACATGATAATGCAGGAGCACCACAATAAAGTGGGCTGGGTTGACATGACTGTTTTACTCTTTGCCAAATTCAGACTCGATTCATTCATCCCATGTTCTCAAGTTGCTTCATCAGTCTGGCTAGGAGAATGATTTCTCCGTCTGTCTGTCTGTGTATCTAACTAACTCACATGTGTACATGGACATTCACACTTTGTATTTTCAGATAGGACAAATCAATTAATGGGAAGTCAGGGCTTACTAACTGGAGTAGTGAACATTCTGGAGACTGTGCAGCTTCTCTTCCAAGTTTACATCCTCTGTTTAGGGATGCAAAATGAACCTGGTGCTGATATACTGCACACCGGTGGCTGCAGCAAGCCAGGCAGATTGGTTTCTATAGCTATGCGCTGTAAAAGGATGCAAGAGTTCCTTTCAACTCCCTGGCTTTAGCCCAAGCCAAAGGCTTCTTAACGCAGGCAAGCTGTTGTGTGACTGCTGAAATGGAAGATTATTTATTTAAAGCAGAGACTTTTTTCTTTCCCATCCCACCCCCTCAACCCCCAGCACTCAGAGAGCAATCAGTGCTAAAGGGAAAGATGGCAAAGCTCAGCGTCTCCAAATTGAAACTCAAGCCAAGGGTAGAGAAATGCCCTGCAGCTCATCCCAGTCTGTGAGTGACAATAAATAACTGGCTAAGGGGATGTTATTGAAAAGTGAGAGGAGGGAGCAGGGCAGGTTGACTCTCTTTCGAAGTTTTTACTCCTAACATTAGTCTGAAGAGATTGCGAGGGATGCAAAGGAACCCCTTTCCTTTGGCTAAAACACCCTTGGCAGAAACTGAGTGAGCAAAAAAAAGTGGTCAACCAGGTTGGTCAGCCATATAAACATAGCTGTGGGTCAGCTTCATGTATCACTGGGATATAATGGCATCTGTTTTATCATGGGGGGGGGGGCTTGTCAGGTAATGTGACATTTTGGATGGCCTGATAAACAGTGCTGTAATACGGATTAGGGAATTCACATGTCAGAGACTTTTGACACTCCTGAGAGTCTGCTCCTACTATCCATGCTTAAGTGCAGGTAGGTCCCATTGGAATGAACTGAGGCTGCAAACCTGCCCACATCGTGAAACCAAACATGCCCTACTTCTGAGCGAGCAGAATTGAGGTCATAAGAACGGATTGCAGCCTAGGTATTATTATTATTATTATTTTGGTGGGGTGTATCCTCAGGAGAACTTCCCTCATCGCGTTGTCATAATACCAAATATTGCGGGGGGGGGGGGGTAGCGCCCATCGGTCTAAAGAAGTCATATTACTGTTAGGCAGGCTTCTGCAACCACGAAGCACTGGAAACTGGAATCAACTTAGTCCCAACAACGCAAATCGCCTCAGAAATAAGTCCCGGGTTTGGGGTCCCCTGGTTAAACGCACCCAGGACTGCAGCTTCTGCGAGCATGTGCAGAGTGCCTTTTCCACAGGGCTCTGCCAAACGGCAAAGAGCGAGGGCGGTTGCTCTCTTTCGTATGAGTACATACATACACACTGTACTTAAATATAGTAATACCTAAAAACCCAGCCTCTACAGTTTCTGCCCTTGGGAGAAGAAGGGACACGAGGCACGTTCACCACCAACGCGCCGTCGTCCACACACACACACACACACACACACACACACACAGCCGTTATTTTTAATTTTCGGCAAGGTGACGCCGCCTTGTGCCGGGAGGAAGGCGCGCGGGGCGGATCGGCGGGGGGGGGGGGCGCTGCTGAAAATAAAATAAAAAAGGCGGCAGAACGTGCGAGAGGCGCGCGCGCCTGTGTGTGCACGAGGAGAGATGTGAAGAGGAGCGTGTGTCTGTGTGTGCGCGCCCTCGCGCGCGCGTGTGTGTAGAGGAATCCGGCGCTGCGCAAGAGGCTCCCCTGCTTTTCCCGCGCGCCGCCTCCTCCTCCTCCTCCTCCTCCTCCACTTCTTCTCTCCGCCCCTCGCCCTCTCCTCTCTTTCCCTCCTCGAACATCGCGGTGCCGGCGAGCGCGGCGCTGTTGTCGCAGCTCCAGAAGAGGCGGCGGGCGCTGCGGGAGGAGCCGCACAGGATTACTTACCCAGGCTCGCGGCTGCTTCTTGTGGAAGTGCTGGTGGCGCAGGAGGAGGGGGAAAAAAATAAAACCGGAACAGAGCGCGCCGACTACGACGAAGACGGCAGGTGGGTTGCCGAACTAGGGCACAGAGGGGGGGGGGAGTTTCTGTCAGGGGGTTTAGAACAAAATGGGGGGGAGGGTTACAACGAACTTTTGCAAGGAAGCTAGTGGGGGTCTCCGCCCCGCCCAGCCTGCGTTGGTGGTGGGGTTCTTCTTCGGTCCACGTCTGCCGAGAGAGTTGGGAACGAGGGAGAGTCGTCACGTTTCCTAACCGCCTCAATTTGCTTTCTTTCAACTTTGGGAGCGAAGTTTATTTTGGGGGTGGGGATGTCTTATGGTGGTATCGATGCCTCCCCAGGCTGCTTTCAAGCTGGTGGGAAAGCTGCGAGACGTTTCGGCGTTGTCCTTTTATTTCTCGTGCTCCCTGAGCTGCTTCTTCCTGTTAAGTGTTGAGACGGGGCGCTGCTATGTGATTTGCGAGGCGCCAAGCTCAAGTTTTTATTTCTTCCCCATCTCCTCGCCGCTCTCGGCTTGCTCCTTTTTTTATTGCCGGCATCATTTCCGAATGCACATTCGCCTTAAAAGCAAAACAAAAAGCCAGCTGTCACCTTTCCTCTTCTGCTGCCGTTCGCAGCAGCCTCCTTTTTTTTTTTTTAGCTCTGCCAAAGAGAGGCGAAGTCGACGAAAACCTTGCATTTTGTGGGGTGGAAGGAAGACTCCTGGGGTTGTTCTCTGAGGCGCTGTCTGTCTGAAAGCAGATCCTCTTGCCTCTCCCTTTTCTCCTTTGCTGTCACTTCGTTTGTAACAACAAACTCATTATAAAAACATACACAAAACAGCTCCTGCGTTAGGTTGATGGGACGGTAAGCAGAGAACAAACAAATAGGCACCTCTGAGAGTAAAGGACATAAACAAAAGTTCACTGGTTGTGTGTGTGTGTTGTGGCATCTTAAAGACTAATAGATTTGCAGTGCAAGCCCCTAATCAGAAGGAAGTGTTTATAAGGATTGCAGCCTTATTGTGGTACAAGCTTCCATGGAGTTGGAGTCCACTTCATCAAATGCATAAAGTGTTATTTAGTTGTAAATAATAATGATATGCAAGCTTTACAGCTCTGTGCTTTCATTTCACAGAGCACATTCCTTCACTCCTGTGCTCAAAGGAGGAAGGGGGGGCGGAGTTTCTAATGTGCCCCCAAACTAAAATGGGGGCAGGATATCAGCAAGGCAAAATCTCAAGATCAATTGCAGTAAAATAAACGAAGGCAGAATAATCCACACGAGCCCCACCTGGGGCTATATTGCTCTTGTATAATAATACTGCACTTAAAGTGTGGGGGGGGATCTGTTTTGGAAGTGTAGATATTATCAATGATTATTACAGAGGGCTGTCAATGACTCACACCACCTGCATTACTCATGGGATTTTATTGTTAAATCACCTGTAAAACAATCACATTCCCTGTGTCTTTAATTTGTGTTTAAATGTTATCTTGCAGTACTGAATGCAGAATGCATTCCCTAAAAATCATTTTTTAAAAGAACAACTCCTGACATTTGGAGCTAGGGAAAAATACTGCTCCATTCTCCTGTGCTTCTCTTTAGCAGCATGAGCAATGGAAGATGCTAATGCTGCTCTGTTCGAACCGATCTATAATGTTAGCTTTACTGACTGAATATCTTTTTTTGCTCTCACTTTTGTGAGCACTAGGGGTCAGATGCTTTCTGCTGATGATTAAAAACGAGCTTTCATTGAGCATTGCTTTATTTGTAAACTGAAGTGTTTGTTTTATATAATCCAATTAGAAGGGTGACAAAACTACAGTCTCCCTCTCTAACAACCCCCAGTCAAAAAGATTCCTTGAGAGTAAACTTGCTTTGCTTCATATTTCCAGTTTATAAACAATAAATTAAATCAGGGATCCTCTTGAAACAAAAAAAGATAGTTATTTCATGCTTCATAGTTTGCTCTTGGTAAGGGATTGCAGATGAATAGGTAGTCACTATTAAAATATCAATTAATCTTACTGGATCATGTAGATTGGCAGGTCATCCTGCCATTCTAAGGCTGTTCTCTATAGCATGTTCCTTAATGGTTGGTACTCTTAATTTTGAATGTATTTGCTGGTCCATTTCTCAGTATTAGATACTGTGACTTACTGATTTATCACTCTTGGATCTTTTGTGGCTGCATTTGATAGGGTGGTTCTGACCCACTTATGCATTCCTGGATTGAGCAAGAACTGGCTTTTATGTCGTTTAGGTTGCAGTTTGCAGCCTTATACCAATTTACCTTGGGGTAAATCCCATTGAACTAAAGAAACATGATTCTAAATAGACTTGTACAGGATTGCACTGTTGTTGTTCTTACCAGTTGACTTGACCACAGACATATATTACATCTTGCTTTTTTCCAAAATCACAGAGTGCATACTTCTCAAGAAGAAAGTCCCAAGTTCAGTCCCTGGGGACTGCATTGAAAATTATACTGTATAATATGGCTTGGAAAATCCCCAGTCTTGGAGAGCCACTGCCAGTTGAGAGTAGACAGTACTGGGCTGTATGAACCAATGGTCTGATTTTGTAGGTGGCAGCTTCTTGTATACACAGATGGTCAGAAAGACCATTGGATACCTCCCCCCCCCCCCATTCAACTAGGCTTGTAGTTTAATCCCTTTCAACAGCATGTGATAATGCTGCCAAATGCAGCACAAGCTGCGTTACCCAATTTTGACGGTTGTGGCTGAAGTTTTATGGGCACTTTGGAAACTTGTTATAAAAGAAATTTGATTTCTGACTGAGATGCTTGCATGCAGAGTTTCAGATGAGAGTGACTTTTTTAACGGACAAAGCCATAAACAAGAAATAAGGATTTATAACAGAGGTTCTCTCTGACGTTTATGGCACTGCAAATAACATTTCTGAGATGCATGCAGACAGGTGTGGAAATGTATTCATTATAAACGCATCTTGGTTTCAGAGGCATCTTGGTTTCAGAAACATGATTTAAAAAGAGTGTTTGACAGAATTATTTAATAGAAGCTTGTAACATTAGCTGCAGAAATCCTGATCAGTTCTGCATCTTTAAAAAGTTCGACTTCCTGATAGTCTTGGTCATTTTTGTCTTGAGGGCAACTGATGTGCATGCTTTGACATTTCAGAATGTTTAGATTCCAGATATGCTGGAATCTAGGCATTATATATTCATTATATTTTCACCGACTATTAAGCCTTTATATGACACAAACGGTATGTATCCTATGGTCATACAGAACTAGGGAAAGAAATCTCTATGGAATATAAATACAAAAACTTTACAGCCCCCCGCCAAGCATTCTTAGAAATTTAGCTATATGATTGTTTTCCTAATGTAGGGTTCTGAACAGAATACCCAATAGTCATGGGCATAACTTCAATGTTCGGCAATGTTGGACCTGTGTGGAAAAGTTCCAGTAGGATTGTACTGTGTGTCAGATCTGAAGCTAAGAGTAACTTATTTAAAGATTGATATCTGACTTTCAGTTTAATTTTTGAAAGGTTACTAACAAAGAAACACCTATCATTCTCTTGTCAGGACAAGGTCTAAGTGTAATAAAATTTTGTTTGGGAAAGACAGTAGTGTTAAATTTTGTATTGTGTTCATCAGACACGTATGAAAAGAAAACTACACATCATGCAAATACTTGTACATATGTGCTTTCCATGTTCCTATCTTGCCTGGGAAGCTTGTGTGCATATATATGGAAGATTTCACCTTTCACCATCACTTTACATTATTGCTTTAACGTGAAATATATCAGTATTGCATGCGTGGGTGTGTGACTTGTCCTATCTGTGTAGCCCAGGGATAGGCAACATGGTGTCCTCCAGAGATGTTGTTGGACTTCATTTCCCATAATCCTTGACCATTGGCCACACTGTCTGGGCATCATGGGAGTTGTAGTATAACAAACATCTGAGGGCACCATGTTGACTACCTATCTTTTTTTTTTTTTGCTATTTTGAAGTGAGTTGTTCAAAACCCAGCATGCTTTGAGAGAAAGCATGTAGAATGTGCTTGGCATGCTTGTTTCGGTTGTGAATGAAGAAGAAGGTTTGTAGCACTGGACCAAAAGACCTGATCTACAGGGTCTGTAATTTTCTTGTCTGCTAATGTTTAAAAGAGGCACTGAAAAGCTCTCTATAGAGTCACCTTTGTATATGTCTGGTTGATTAGATGAAGACCATTTGATGCTGCACACAGTCTATAATTTCTTTTGGATTATGGGGAATTATCAGAAATTGATAGTAGATTCGGGAGTTGTGGCACTTCCCATGAAATTTGGAGGACAAATTACTGCATTTAGTGTTATATCCTTATATTTGTAAAGCCACTGTAGGCCTGCTCAGAAGCTTCCAAAACATAGAAGAACAAATTAGACAATCCAGAAACCCACTGTGTTTTTAAATTTAATCCAGTAAATCTAGGGTTGCCATATTTCAATAAATATAAACCAGGACACCCTGAAAGTTCTTGAGCTTTTTTTAGGAAGATCCCAAAATTGTTGAACTTTTTTTAAAAGAAAATTCTTGTACAAAAATGCCCAAAACCCTGCGATTTTTTGATTGATTTGCCTAAGATCCAGGACAAAGTGTCACATTTTGGAAATTCACCCTGGACGTTATTTCTACCTTTGAAATCCCAGTAATCATATTGTATAATATGGCTTGGAAAATCCCCAGTCTTAGAGAGCCACTGCCAGTTGAGAGTAGACAGCACTGGGCTGTATGAACCAGTGATCTGATTTTGTAGGTGGCAGCTCTAGTAAATCAAATTATTCCTGAATCAGAATGAACAGGAGTCCGTGATCTCTAACAGAAGGACTCAGTTTATGACTGAACAACGAAGAAGCCTGACTTGGAGATCCTTGGCTTGATAATGAAATGGCAGTTGTTGATAGATTTTCAAGTTTGGTAGTTTAGACAACTGGGAAATGGAAATCGGGGCTAATTTTTAAAAAGAGTTAATGCATGTTTCAAAAGCAACATGATTT